ATTGAAAAACGCTGCCACATGTTAGACGGGGCCCAAGCCCGGTTAAAGTCAAAAGTCCTCACCACTGTGGTTTATCCTGACACTTGGGTGAACACAGTCCTCTCCTGAGAATGTCCAAACTGGGACTGTAATGTGACAAAGGGCCATGAAGCCTTATATCAGTACCAAATTGCTCTCCTGGTATACTTCAAAGAAAGAGGCAAGAAGCAAATAAATATGTCTAAATTTACATTAGTTACCCACTGGAGTCCCCACTGAAAAGAAATTCTGCCAAAACAGATCCTGGGAAATTGATGGACACATCATAAAATATGAATTCCTGTACATGCTTGAGTGCCCAATACCTCTCCTGGGATGTGACCAGCCTAACCTCACACTCCAGTCCATTGTCCCAGACTTGATATGACTCTACACTGTACCCTGACAGGAAGAATAGCACCTACAACAGCTTGAAATGCCTGAAATGTTGAGACTTGTTTCCAGAAGTATGGACAGAAGACTCTCCCCTGGGACTTCCTATCAATGATGTTCCTTTGCTGATCAAGTTCTGTCCCAAGACAACTCCCCCTCACATCAAACAGTACATCTCTCCTGCCTGTAAAGCCAATTCAAGATCTCCAAGCTGTCAACGCTGCCACATTTGCCCTCCATATATGTTGCCTACAGAAAAGCTCTGCTACAATACCTGACAGAATCTGGATAAAAGTAAAAAACTCCATAAATTTTTTAGAGCTGCTGGCTTCTGTATGCTTACTCAGATTGTCAGTCCCTGGGAACGCTCAATGGCCCCAGAGGCTGCCTCCCCTCTTTGCCTCCACGCTCTAACAGCCACTGTCCTTCTGATCAAGAAAGCTAACAAGGTCTCCTTAGGCCAAGACCTAACTATCCAGATGCCACGTGCTCTACTGGGATGAACTGTTCTACAAAATGGACCCTCTGACAGATGCTGAGTACACCCTACTTACAGAAGGAAGCAGTTCTGCTAAGAATGAAGTCTGACAATCTAGATATGCTGTGCTCACCTTGGACAAAACTATTTTGACCAAAACTCCCCTGTAGGAATGATCTGTACAGCAAACTGCTTCCTGTTGCTGTTTGGAAACCTGCCACTAGCAATGCAAAATAATCCAGTCTAGAGTCCTAAAACCACTCTGAGGATCCAACTGACTAAAAACCTGGTATTTCTGAAAAATTAGAGCCACACCTGCCCCACTGTTTGTTCTGCAAGCTCAAGCCACTGCACTGTTACCCATACCCCTGCAGCCAGCTAAGGCTTCAATGTCTGTGCTACTGACCCTGACCTCCCATTCCCTACCTGTATTGAGAAGAAAATTTTGTAGGGTCCTGCTGTAAAAAAATCATCCCTAGATATGGCCTACCCTTGATCATTGGCAGCAAAAACAGGCCTGCATTTGCAGCCGAAGTAACTCAAAAACTAGATTAAATAAAAACTACATACAGCTTGTAACCAGTTAAAAGACCAGCTATATCTGTAAGCATTCTTGCATACATATATAACACAGATACATATTAACTACCTCTAGGAGTTTCAGAAATTCAGTCTTAGATGTGCTGAAAAATTTAACCTGGACAGCCCCTCCAATACTCACTCTGAAGAGAAAAGGCATGCACAACTGAAGCCTGAGGATATCATTCACAAGACTGCTCCATACTTATTCCCCTTGATTTTTGTGTCTTTTTAGGCTGTTTATCTCAGTCCTTGCTTCTCTGCCCTCCTGCTAGCTGTGGTTTTTGTTAACTGACCTGGATTCTGCCTATCCCAGTCCGTGCTTCCATGTCCCCTGCTGGTTGTGCTTTTTTTGTCTTAAACTCTATGGACAGTTGCCCCAAAATAACAGAACAATCAATCAAACACTTGACCAAGATTTGATGAGCATCCAAGGCACAATGGACACTCTCCTACATCAGATTAACTCCCTTCTTACCTTTCCAGAGTAATGTTACAGAACAAATAGGCCTATTATGTCTCCTCTGAAAAAGAAACTTAAGGAAAAACTCTGTAATAAGACAATCTTGGAAACCTTGGCTAGAGCCCATCCTAGGGTCACTGACAACCCTAATGTTACTGCTGTCAAGTTGGGCCTTGACTCACAAGATCACATGTAATATGCCCAGTAAAAATTTGCTGGGAAAACTAAAAGAGGGGACAAATGCAGCAGAAAATGCACCCCCTTAGCCAGTATACTTCAGTTTCTTTGTTGCCCAAGTAATAGTTTCTGTTCCATATCTAGCTGTTCCTATCTCTTAGAAATAGCTGGTCACTGTTATGCATAGCTGGTCACTATGATACACATTGTATAAACAAATCCCTAATTGACAAAGCATTCTGCCTCCATACTTCCTGCTTATTTATCCAATATAAGCCCTGGGTTCCAGAGATCAGGGCTGGTTTTCAGGGAATGAGCCCAGTCACAGTTCATCAACATAATAAAATCTGCCTCCAAATCCTGGGGGTCATTTTGGTGTTTCTGCTTATCATTGCACTATAACATTTTTCTATAATACATTATTTCAGTCAATAAATATTAATTAAGCATATGGTACATGTTGAAACACTAGTGCACCCACTGTGGAAATCAGTATGGAGATTCCTCAAAAAGCTAAGATTAGAGGTCTCATTTGACCCAGCTATTCCCCTTCTGGGTATCTTCCCAGAAGAATTAAAAACATCCTTCCATAGCCATATATGGGCACCCATGTTTACAGCAGCACAATCTGTAATTGCTAAATCTTGGAAACAACCTAAATACCCATCAACCAAGGAATGAATACAAAAGATGTGGTCTTTTTATACAGTGGAGTACTAGTCAGCCATAAAGAGGGATAAACTTGAGAATATTATAGGTAAACGGATACAACTTGAGACCATACTCATAAGCGAAATAAATCAGACTCACATGTGTAAACACTGCACTGTCTCCCTGGTGTGAGAAACTGAAAGAGCAAATAAGGTCTAAAATGTACAAGAGATATTGTGAAATTGGAAGAAATTGTTTAAAAGGAGAAAAAGAACTAGGACAGGGAAAGGAGAAAGGAAGGAAGGAAAAAGGGAGAAAAATGCAAGTTAGCTATACTATTAGTGTCTCTTAGTTCACTGAAAAGAAAAGTTCATGATAATATCGATTGGAGAATGTTTTATGCCCATATCTTGTACTCTGATTAACTACCTTTAAGATGACAATATGCAATATATTAACTCTTGTTATACTCCTATTATTGTGCTATGAAATTGTTTTACCTTTTTCCATAAAAAAGTGTTACTAAGCCTAAAACAAATGATAGAGATTTAACTAAATTGATTACTGTATTTAAAATAAAATCTGAAAAGCTAAAACTGGTAATTTCCCCCAAGGATGAACACTGTCTTTTTGTTATGTAGTTTTCAACAGCAACTGAAGAGAAAATCTTTTCATCCTCCAAAAGGAATTAGTCCTTCAGAGCAAGACAAACTCAAAGAACTTCCTCTACCTGTGTTAGAATGTCAGGTGCAACAAAGGCAATCAGGGAGTTTTTATTCACCACTATGTTGTTAGCACTGAGGACAGGGCCTGGCATATCCCAGAAGTCATAATACTGTATGTGTGAGCAAAAAGCTTCTTCACCTCCCTTCCACAGCCAAGCTGAACACACCCACCCAAACTAATCCACAAGAATTCAAACACTTCTCCTAATCTGGGTGAAAACTGACTATTAGGACTATTAAAGTTACAACAGAGGAAAGACAGGCTTCTTAAATGAGAGCATTATTAGGTTACTTTGAGCAAATATTTTAATGCCCATGTATTTAAGGCCTTTTTTTCCAATTTATACTACAAATAGTAATGAAAAGAAACCATAGGAAAGACAGAAAAAGAGGGAAGACTAACATGTCCTTAAAAGAATAACAAGCACAGGGGGCCTTTTATAACTTTCATTCATTACCAAAGTTTTTCAAAATAGTTAACTTCAGCAAGATAACCATATTTTAGCATTTTTATCAGCAGGATCCAGAGTTAAAATAATATCCACGATGCAAACTTTAAAAGTCATATAATTACCACTGCTCAGAGAATATTTCTGATAAGTATTAAACATATAGAAGGTTTTATAATGAGTATGTCAATATTTCATTATCTATACAATCTGAGTCTTGAGCAAAACCTAAAAAGACATTTTCTACTGACATGCTGATAAGATGAAAGAGAAACTCAGACTAGAATAACATCAAATATTTTCTTCGGGTTATATAAAGTTCGGTACTGTCAACACCAATTTTCTACCTATCATTATAATTTTGAAAATTCTTCAAATGCAGCAACTTATTACAATCAGAACACAACTGCACTAATAACTAAGGAAACATTGATACATATCTATTTCCAAAAGTGTCATCCATATTTGATCAAATTTGCATAATTATAATTATAATTAATTTATTTCCTTTTATGAAGTCCTTTCCTTTGATTTTTAATATATTCTGATAATTACCTCATTTATGCTAGTTATAAAAGCCAAGCAGGAAACAGCAGATGCCTAGTAGTACTACATTCATGGTTACCACATCATTCATGAGCACTATGCACCCCTAATTAATGGAGGGCCTCACAATCTGAAAACCTGTATAGTCCCAAAGAAAAAATGCAGTAATTCCTTTCTGCCAGTTTCACCCCCAAAATAAATGACAATTCACTGTTCAGAAAAGAAAGTCCCTTCATCTATAGAAAGGGCTCAGCTGCTATCAGAACAAAAATATCTTGAAGCTTAATAACAGTGGAAGATTTCACTATGAAATAATGAAGGAAAAACAATCCAGATTCCTTGCTTTGAACTCAAACGAAACAAAAATGAATCCACAGGAATTTTGATATAGGTATTAACATAACTTTATATTATCTATAACTAGAGATCACAAAAATAATCTTTATATTAAACTTTCATTAAATAATTGTGCTAAATGAAATTGCAGTCTTTCACATACAGCTTAAAAACAGCAAAGTCACCTCTATTTGTGCTGCCAAATTTGCTTTCTCCTTGTCTTTTCGCTCCATGCACCGCTTCACCTCCTCTAACTCTGATGCCATTGCGCTGTAGTTCATCTGCACTCTCAAATCTGACGTCTGCTTCTCCAGATCCTGTTTTTCCCGCTCTACCCCTTAAAAGAGAAAATGTAAAGTTCAGTGGTCATTCTTTATTCACACAAGAATGTACTTTCAGAAGGTACTAAGTCCTGATGGTACTAAGCCTTAATATTCTATCTAAGGTAATTCAACTACTCACACTCTCACTCAAGATATTTCAGACATTGCCAGTCTAGTGTCATACAGATTTCAAAGACATATATATTACTATGTAATTCAATATTATTCTATTTTGGTACAAAAATTTTAAACATTATCTACTTTCTAGCACAATTTATTTCAAGAAAATCCTATAAGTTTTCATTTTCTTCACATCTCTACCACCAAACTTTTAAATAAAAATACTGAAAGAATTTTCAAGTAAGCTATTATACGTATCTGAAGTTACTGAAGCTTACATATGAAATAAATCCTTTTTTTGCAACAGAAACAACACATGATGCTTCTAAATATCTGAACATCTTGGACTACAAGTTTGTTACTTTTAGTAATTTTGAGACTATTACCTGGAACTATACTGAACAATGTAAACTGACTTGGAACTTAATTCAACAGGAAACACTTGCTCTATGATGCACAGGCTCTATAATATCATATTCTTACAATGTAAAGTGAAGTATAAAAACCCATCTTCAATGATCTTGCATTACACGATCACAGACAAGACATATAAATAAAGTAATTCCTTTACTCCAACATGTCAGCAACTGTAATATATACTATCAATCCAAAACTACCATTTTTCCAGCATTCCTTACAGGACAGAAAAGAAAGAAGACAAAACTATCAATTCAAATTTATACATCATTCATAAAATATATCCCAACTTCAGCAATATTAAAGTGCTCAAGATTGTACCTTTGGAAATGGAAGACACACAGGCTTTTCAACAGTATGAGACAAGCACTGACAGACACAAAAGCATTATGGGGAAACAGTACAAAAGACTGTGATTAACTCTACAGTGAAAAACTAGACTAAAAAAATTAGGGACTAAAATACATTTTAAGAATGAACACAGGGGCTGGGGATTTAGCTCAGCGGCAAAGCGTCTGCCTGGCAAGCGCAAGGTCGTGAGTTCGGTTCCCGGTACCCAAGAAAAACCAAAAAAAAAAAACAAACAAACAAGAATGAACACAAAAATTTCAACAAGCAAAAGGATGGAGCTGAGCTATTATTTTAAGGAAAGGAAATATTATAAAGCATAGAGATACAAAACTGGATTTAATACACACAGTTGTTCTACTTGGCTAAGACAAAAAATGAGGGTGGGAAGAGCGGTGGCCAGAAGATTGTGCCTTGCTAGGAAACTTAGATTTTACCCTACAGACCAAGGGTTAGCAAACATTTTCTCTACAGGGTCAGGTATTTTACCCATCTACTTGCTGCTCTCTGTCACAACTACACAATTCTGCTACTGTATTGCAAAAGTAACCTAAACAATGAGTAAATGAATGGGAATAGCTACGTTCCAAAAAGTTTATTTACCAAGGCAAACAGCAGTCTGGACTTGGCCCACAGGCCCTACTTCACCCACTCCTATTAGGTCTCTAACTTGAAAATATACATATTTGTTTATGTATAAATGTAGCTATTCATTTTATAAATATATGTAGCCACTCATTTTATAAACATGTATTTCATTTTATAAATATACGTATACATATATATAACTTGTCTCAATAGTAGGTACATAATGATATTCTATGATATATATACCACAAATATGAACATGAATATATATAAATGAATATATATAAATATGGAGTTACAAATGTGTGTGTATATATATACACATACACACACACACATATGTATGCTTTAGGAAAGCTATAATATTTGGTATAGAGACATATAATATTGTATATTTCATAACATATATAAACATAAAATATTAATACAGAGAAATATACAGATATAAACACATATATCACATATGTTATGGCTTTTGTCTAAATGTGCTCCAAAGCCTCATGTTGTCATAGGTGGGGATTTTTCAGAGGTGCTTGGATCTAGAGTATGTCACTGGAATTGACTCATGGTGCAGTGCTAGAATCAAGGGCACTAGGATTAAGGGTATGAGGGCTACCCACCCTAAGTAGACTGTATGACATGTAAGAGATAAAAGGAGCTTTGTTCCTTATTGCTTTGCTACCTTCTGCCCAACATGAACTATTTCTCCTCTGCAATACCACCCTGCCATGGAGCCAGATGACTATAGACTGAAACCTCTACAAACTGTGAGCTAAGTAAGCCTTTCCTCCTGGATGTTGGGTATTTTGTCTCAGCAATGAAAAAAGTAACTAAAGACAACATGTAATGAAAAATTCAGCAAAATTGAAAATACCTTCATGTTTAAAATATAAATAAGTATTACACATTCATTCTACATCCTAGATTATCTCATACTGCAGTTTAGAGAACACCGAAGTACAGGACAGCAGTTAAGAGCTGAAGTTTGGGGGAAGAACAAACTTAGGCCGGTGCTATGATTTAAGTGTCCCCTCTAATACTGAAATTTGTCACTGTAAGAATATTAAAATGTGGTATTTTGAAAGGTGATTATGTAAGAGGGCTCCATCCTCATAGACTAATTCATGCCATTACTGTAGGAGAAGTTTAATTACCATGGAAGTGGCTCTGTTACAAAAAATCTCCCACTGGGTCTTTGGCACTCTGACTGTCATATACCATACACAGGCTTGCATTCTCTCCCTCCCTTGACACTCCCTGTCCCCTGTGTTGTCTTGCTCCCACTTTCTTCCTCTCTGGAGAAAATAAACAGGAAACAAATATAAGGTGATATAAAATATAATTAATGCCCACAGTTTTTAAAATTTATTACAGTAAAAGACACATTGCCGGGGCCGGGGGTATAGCTCAGCGGCATAAGCACCTGCCTGGCAAGCACAAGGTCATGAGTTCGATCCCCAGTACCAAAAAAAAAAGACACATTGCCATTAATCCCTCTCAAAATACTCTCCTTCCCTTCAGACACACATCCCCTCACTCCTGTCCCTTTCTGAAGCTGTTCTAGATGTCTTCATTTTGTATTTTTAGTTGTGCTATCCTAGCTATGTCAATGTCCTGATTCAACTCAAATTTTTACCTTTCATGGTCATTTTGACTTTGGGGAAGAGCCAAAAGTTGCACAGCACCAGTGAATAAGGTAGAACCCATGATGCTCTAATGATCCTACCTTTCCACTGGCTAGCACTCAGGAGCAGCAGTCACTGAGTATTTTTTAACATATTTTGTAAAGACATTGAGAAAAGAAAATTTCTGGAACTACTTCAGAGAGGGGTAAGAATGATGGATAAGTGTGTTCAAAGCAAGGAACACTCTTATGGTAGGTGGGGGGTTAGTGGCAAAGTGTCATTTACTGTAATAAATCTTCTTTAATTTAAATATTTACCATGTGTTCAATCACCCCTGTAAGTAATTAAAAGATTCCTTTGACTTTGACTGAGAAGCCCAATAGTAAACCAAGCAAAACTAACTTTAGAAGCAATGGTAGAACCCATTGTACAATCAGCAGAAGAGAAGAACAAACAGTAGTTAAGGTGTTCAATGACTATGACTTCTCTGGTAAAACTATCCTTAAATAATTCAAGTATTTTATAAACATGAAAAACTGGAATTGTTCTTTATCACACAGTAAGAGAAACTTCAGGCAGACTTTCTAAAATCTTGATAAGTATAAGTAAAGTTAGATTTGTCTATTCCTCCAAAATAATACAACTAGATTTTTATGAGGTATCAAAACATATAACAAATATCACTGAATTTTTCCCAACAAAATGAGAAGTCCTAGTCCAGCTTTATGAAAACTGAATAATCTAACAGCTAAGAATTTTACTTTTAAAATGGACCATATTCAGTGTCAAATGGTATCTAAATTACAATATCACAAATATATTAGGATAGCTTTGAAAAAATTTGCCATTGATTGAAAATTTGCCTGGCAATGTGGAAATTAAGGCAATATGCTGTATTGCTGGGAAAATATTTAACTTCCCTGAATTTAATTGTACACCAAATGCTTATAAGAATTTCTCCATGTTTCAGGGGTGTAACCTAGTGGTACAGCATGTGCTCAGCATAAGCAAGATCCCTGGGGTTGGTCCCTAGCACCACAGTACAAAAACAGAGTTTCTCCAATATTTTGTCCATTTGAGTAGAAAGGCTCATTAATAGAATAAGTTTCAAGCTAAGTAATCTAAACTTGCCTATTAGAAACCACTTTAATATCTAAATATCACTATTTTTGTTAAACCTGAACTTTCAAAAAGAGAAAAACAACAGTCATGAAATTCTACAATCTAAATCAGTATCTCCACTGAGAAGGTATACAAATATAAAATGTTCCTAACCAACACCAAAAAAAAAAATTTCGTATCTCTAGATAAAAAAAAGGTAGGATCTTACTTTTAATTGTTCATACATAAAAACATGATAAGAAAAAGTGAAAATAAATGCATTTACAATTTAAGTGCAAAATAAACACATACACTTGGATAGGAATAAGAAAATGGAAAAACTTCCATTATTATCTTTGCACACTCGCAGAGAAAGCCCCAAGATGTAAGCAGGTCTGAAAACTGAAACATGTTTATAAATCCAGCAGAAAGAAATTACACTTGGATGTTAATGACGATCAACTTGTTGGGAAATTTTGTAGTAGATCAAGCAAAACATTAGGAATGAATTCAGAGAATGAAAAACCCACACAATTATGAATTAGAATAATACCTCTCCTAAATCTCCAGTCATCTCCTTCTTCACCCTGATAGATTGACTGCTCCTTGGCAATCTGGGGTACTTGATGTTGTAAAATCTTCCGATCACCTTCTGCTTTTGTAAGTTGTGTACGCAATTCTTCTACCTAAATGCATTTCAGTCAAAAATCAAAGTGTTATCAGTTTTCAAAAGCAGGAGAAAAAGATAAAACTTAAAATCTGAAAGGTACAATAGATATTGTGAAAGGGAAAGAAACTGCTCAAAAGGAAAGAACAATTCAGATGAGGGAAAGGAGAAAAGATAAAAGGGAGGGGAGAGCCAGGTGTGGTGGCTCATACCTGTAATCCCAGCATTAGGGAGGTTGAGGCAGGAGAATTTTGTGAGTTCAAGACCAGCCTGGGCTAAAAAGTGAGCTCAAGGCCAGCCTGAACTGCATAGTGAGACCTGTCTCAAAAAGACCAAAAAAAAAAAAAGACAGAAAAAAAAAAAATATATATATATACACAAGACAGCTAATTGTACTACTAATTTCTATTGATTTATTGAAAGGAACAGTTCGTGCTTAACTTTTTCGAACAATTTTGCATGTTTATATCTGGTAATCTGAACAACTATTTTGAAGACAACAATATGCAACAGAATGACCATTGTTAAATTCATATCATCTTGTTTTTTGAAACTCTGCATCATTTCTAATTTTTTATTCTCTTTAAAATGAAAAAATTATTATAAATTACTTCTCTAGGGGAAAAACATTTATATCTCATGGACTATTGCAGACAAAAGCTGAAACCAAGTCAATCTAATGTCCTTGCTACACACACAGTGGAACAGCCTCCTGCTCCATTTTTTTTCCTTTATTAATACGTTTGCTATACACAGGGATTACAATCATCTTGGAGAGTTTGTACATGTGTATATATAGTCCTTTTTACTTCCCCTTGTCCTCTCCTCCTTCCCCTCACTTCTAGTTCCCCTTCCCATTTGTAAAGAACCTATTGTCCTATTTTATATTATCTATCTTTAATTATGCTCTTTATTTTGGATTTCTTATATAAAAGAAATCATGTGATATTTGTGCTTGTATGTCCGGTTTATTTCACTTAACATTATGGTCTCAAAATCCATACATTTCCTACAAATAACTCAAATGAATCCTTCTTTATGGCTGAGGAATACTCCATTGTGTACCTATGTCACATTCTGTTTAACCATATAGGCTACATCCAAGACTTAGCTATTAAGAGTTGTGCTGCTAAAAACACAGGTAAAGCATATATCACTGAAATGTGATGTCTCTTTGGGGGAGATATCTAGCAGGGCTATCCTGCTCAGTTTTTCATTCTTCCATGTGGAAAGTGTCTTTTCCTTCTTTGCATCAATACTGACAGAGAATTTCACATCACTTTGTTTTGTTTGTGATGCTGGGCATTGGACCCAGAGCCCTGCATATGCTAAGCAAGCACTCTACAGCTGAGGTACATCCTCAGACCAGCCAGGCCTTTTCAAATCCCTCATTGTGATCTCAGTCCAGTCCACTACATATTTTTCATATTTTATTTTCTTTCACATGAACACAGTCAGCTGGTTGTTACACTCAAGGGAAGTGATCATGGTTTAGTATATTTTGATATCAAAGTAGACTTCAATATAAATAGGGAATAGATGCAGTTGGATAAGATATGAACTTCTGAAATCAGGATGTTTTATTCATCTTTATATTTCTAAAAAGAAAATTAACAAACTGGCCATGAGGTAACAATGACCATAAATGACTTAGCCGTAACAAAAAGATTCCGTCTTGCTTCAAAAACTGGCATTAGGCATTATACTCAAGAACTCCAAACAAATCAGAATGGGAATACAAATCTAACTTTCAAAAAAAATTCTGAATTCTGCCAACATTGATGCATGTGACCCACTGGCAGCAGAACAAAGTCAATGAACATTTTTAAAGGTTTTACAAAACAGGTGCTGTGGTATATTTTCAGCAGCAATTGTCAAAATGCTAAATTCCTTCTGAACATCTATGATGCCTGACATCGTTGCCTCCAGAGCATATTATGTGGGTGAGTTATGCAACACGCATCTCAAAACAGAAGGCACAATTGTGCTTTGCATTAAACACAGACAAAAACACATAAAAACCCATATACCGTTATCCAATGTATGTAAGATGGCTAAAGTTCTCAGATGAACCACACTCCCATTACAGGCTCATGGACTTCAAAACATTATCCTTAAAAATTAAATCTGATCCTTGCTTAAAAGGAGCCAGGTAGCATCTTGAAAACATGAAATAAAAGGCAATGGTGTAATCAAAGTAATTTGAACGAGCAAAGGGCTGTTTTATGTACTTCAGTTCCTCCTTTATTCTCCACTGCCTCCTTGAATACAATTAAGCTCCTGGGAAATTTTTATCTTATGCATTCAGTCTTACTTTTACACTGCTCATGCTAAGAGAGATAAGTAGTAAGATGGAGCAGCAATCGTCAAGATGCGTTGTCACTGTGGGAACTTGGATTAGTGTTTTGTATGAGCTTTCCTGAATCATCTTTTGCCTATGTGTGCTAACGTAAGTTCCCCAGGGAAAAAAATTCTAGACCTGGTTTCTTTTTCACTTCACAAAGACAGTTAAGAGAGAATAACATGCAATCCTGATTTTATGTAAAAGCAGACTGTCATACTTGCATAGACTTACCTGATGCAAAAGTACTTCTCTGCTGTCTTCTGACTCATTCAACAGCCTGCGAGATAGCTCCAATTCCTGTTTCAGCTGGAGTTTCAACAAAGGATTCAAAAAAAAAAAAAAAAAATGTCCAGTTGAACAGAAAACAACTTAAATCGTGTCCCAATGGACAAAATATTGCCAACGAGGCATAACATAGAAAGAAAGCAGCAGAAAATTTTTCAGAAGATATTTACAACCAATATGAAAAGATGACTATCTCACCATAAACATGTATAAATACTCCAATTAAATAACTTTAATTTCATAACATACAGTGTACTAGACCAAGCCGCTTAAAGGTCTGAGATCTGGTCAGTTCCATCTCAACTGTATTCTTATTTGAATCCCTTGAGCCTCAATTCATTTCTAAAATAAAGATTTTATATTAGTCTCCTAAGATCCCTTCCATTTTAAATCATTTAAATCTAAATTCTGAAGCAATTTTTTCCTTTCAATGAGAACATATAATGACAAATGAACTAAATTAGAATAAAAACTGCAAGATCTAATGTTTCAAAGTACATTTAATCTAACTGGTTAATTCTTATATTTCTAATATTTATAAAATATTCCTCAAACTTTTAAATTTCCAGATTTCAAATAAGACATTTAGACTAATAATAATATTGCCACTACTTAAATATCCAAGGAAAGTGTAACTAGTGGACTAAATATCCTATAAAATCTGAATATGCCTACTTTATTTCAAGTTGAAAAATGTAAGGCTGGGCACAGTGGCACACGCCTGTAATCCCAACACTCAGGAGGCTGAGGCAGGAGGATCGTTGCAAGTTTGAGACCTGGGCTACAAAGTGACCTCGAGGTCAGCCCAAACTGCATAGTGGGACCCTGTCTCAAAAAGATGAAAGAAAAATGCAGTAATGTGATACAAGTTTGTTCAAAATTTAGAGCTTCCACATGCTATATTTTGTTTGCATTTTGTAACAATAAATTTGTTTTATAAAATCACTAAGCTATATTAAGATGTTTGTATGTGCAAGGATTTTACGGGTCATCCTGAATAATTGCATTTAAACAAACTGTTGTGTACATATTAATCTTTAAAACCTGTACATATGGTAGATGTGTCTATCAAGGAAAATGAAAGAGCAACATGGCAAGAGAACAGCTCTATTTTTTGATAGTGGCAGTGTCACACGAATCTACACATCCCATAGAGGTGACCAGAACTACATACACAGACACATACCATACATACATGTTCAGAAAACAAGTAAGTACACATAAAACTGGCAAAATCTGCATAAATTCTGTGATTATACCAATGTCAATTTCCTGGTTTTGATACTGATGGCAATTATGCAAAATATTACCATTAAGGGAAACCAGGTGAAAGGTACATGGGACATCTCTACACCTTTTGTTTTGAAACATCCTATGAACCTATAAATGTTACAAAATGACTTTTTAACAGTTAAATATTTTTTACAGAAAACTATGCATGTGGCCCATAAAATATATGTCATATTCTTTAAAAAGCAAAATAAAGCTCAGGCTATTAACAGGTATAATCCCTATGTAAAACTGGCAGTCTCAACTCCCAAAAGCAGACTTGAAAACCTGATATGCCTGGCTCAAATCAAGGCAGCAGAGAAGCAGTATGTAAATATACAGTTGGTGAAATAAAATACAGGAAGTTAAAAAAAAGATACGAAGTCAAGAACAGTAGCAAATTTTTACTCCATGGTTCCTTGCCTGGGGATCACCCTTCAGTCTATGCATCTACAAATTAGGGAGGATTGTTTGGCCTCTGAATTCCTTCCTAATTCTAATGTACTGGTCTGGACTACCCTGTATGTGCTTTAAAGACATAAATATATGTCACACATTCTTAATTTATATGAGCACAGAGGATATTTATAGAACTAAGCTACTAATAACACCTATCTCTGTAATGAAAATAAATATATATCTAAAATATACAATCTTAATACAACAATCACTGTTAATTTCCTATCACTGTCTGAATTTCAGTACTGCTTGTATTGTTCTTGTTATTTTGTAAATGTGCGTTTGTTAATGTTTTCATTCTTTTACTTTTCAAAATTAAAATATATATATATGTATATATATATATAGTCTTCTAACAATGTCTTTTTAATACTGCAAAAAATCAAGTCCTTTAACTACAAAGAAAAGTTTAATTCATCTCTGAAAAAGGACAGTAGCCAGAGATAACAAGGTGACAAATAACCTGTGCATGTGTCTACGCAGTAAAAGGCAACAGACACATAAAACCAAACTAACATCAAAGCACAGAGACTTTGCTAAGATCCAGCAAATAACCTCAGGCACATGTTTCTAGGCCCTTGAGACTTCTGGAAAGATGGGACAGTGAAGAGCAGCAAAGAAAGAGCTTCTCTCCAAGATCTGGTGTCCAGACACTGGAATATTGCAACATGAGGAAGAAAAGAATGAGGGAAGTGGGTCTCCAGGACCCATGAAGAATCTGAAGCAAGAATTGAGGCCTACAGGGAGAGTGAAAAAAGAAACTTCAACATAGACAGAGGTAGCAGGTGGCAGTTTCACCAAGCCCAGACTCACTGTGTGGAAGGGGAGGCTAAAGCCTGCAGACAAACAGTGAATACTGATGACCCTAGAGGACTCCACTCAGAAACGCACCAGTGGAAAAGAGCAGCGGACTGCAGTGGCTGGTAAGTTATTTGGGCTCAGATATCCTGCAGGAGAAGGTGACTGGCCAGGAGCCATCTTGGAGAGGGGCCAGTTGAGCTTGGAACTCAGAGCAACTACTGGTTCTATCCAGCAGATCCCAATGCAGTTCAGGCCAGCTGGAGTCACACAGACTGCTGCAGGCTGAATGAGTCTGGTTCCAGCCTCACTGCCAGAAACCAACCTGAACTTCAGTGGAATAAAGGTGCAGGCTTGCTGGGATAATCCACTACCCACCTTAAAGCTACAGCTGGTTTGTTGGATTAATCAACATGGATCTAGACTCTGTCTTCCCACATTGTCTACCAGTGACAGCAGAGACATTTTTTTTTTTATTCTCTTTTTCTTTGTGTATTCTCCCTTATTTTTTTGTTTTGTTTTTTCTTATTTGTTCTTGTTTTTATATGAGTGTGAACATGGTTTCTAGTTCTTTTATGAGTTGTTCTGTTCTATTCTGTTTTTGTTATTATGTCTCCTTTCTCTTTTACCCTCCAGTCTTCTTCAGCAGTTTCCCAAGGTTTGCATAATCTTCCTTTGTTCTCCAGCCTTGTTTCTAACCTCTTCCTCTTTTTCTATTTCTCTATTTTTTCTCATAACCCCTTTTAAATTTTTTACCTCAGGTTAAAATTGGCATATGAGGGCCTATTTACTACATACAACTTTCTGGTTCATTTTAGATTTTATTCTATAACCGCAAATCTAGTTCAAACAGTTAAAGGTGGCAAATTAATAGTTACCTAGGTTTGTCAATTTCCAGGCTGTGTTTGATACTACTGTTATTGCTGATGGTACCACTTTAGCCAAAATAACGTACTTTTTCTAAAAGTTGTTCTTTCTGGTATACAACAATACGCAATATAATAACCATTGCTAAATTCTGATCATCTTGTTTTGAAATTGTGTATTGTTTTTATTGTTTATTTTAATTCTCTTTAAAATTAAAAAAAAAAAAAAAAAAAAAAAAAAACACTGAGATTGACTAAGGGTCATAAAAAAATACTATAGACCAGTACCAAAAAAGCAAGGGCTGGGCCAAGTAGTCAGCAACTTTCCATTCCCAATAAGTTGAAGAGGCAGGATCTTGCAACAGACTCAAAACCCAAAAGCCAGCTATACCCAGAAGACAACTCTGAGAAGTAGTCATTTCCTAAGGGTTGTAAATACTAGCAATAAACCTATTCATCACAGGAAATTTACAAGCATCAATCCAGGAATTAAACTAGAGAAATAAAATAAAAATAGAAAAAGGGAAGACACTTTGTTATGGTTGATACATTGTGTCAACTTGGGGAGTCTAGAGGTTTGCCTAAGTGACTCAGCAGGAAGCCAGGGTGCTTACTTTGTATACATCCTGAGCCTGTGGAAGAGGAGGGCAAACATTATGTGAGAGCTACACTCCCCTTAGGTGGGGGTAGTCTGTTTACAAAGTAAGGCAGGGAACGCCATTCCTCCCATTTTGCTCTGGCTGTTTGCTGTCCGGCTGCCATTCCCCCTTTTGCTCTTGTTGCTTTGCTGTCTTCTGCCTCGGAGCCAGCCAAGTATGGACTGAAACCTCCACAAACTGTAAGCTAAATAAACCTTTCCTTCCTTCATTTTGAACACTGGGTATTTTGTCTCAGCAACGAGAGAAAAGTAACTAAGACACACTTAAACAACATGCAAGCCCAGACGTTTAGCTCACCAAAGGTTAAAACCAGGAGAAAATGCAATGGAACAGTCCTAAAGCCACCCACTTGGGTTTTCTAAAGTGGTAACAGCAGAAGTAACAAAGAAAATGAATGAAGCTCTAGAAAAAAATCAAATCAGAAATAATTTCTCAGATAACTAGAGATGGTGATCATAAGGGAAGACATATTTAGTGACTTGAGAGGAGATACAGATTAAAAAGAGGAGCTTAGGAAATTGATGGAAACTTTGAATGCCCACCACACGAAAGAAATGGAATCCATGAAACAAATTCAAAGAGATATCAAGGAGATTAAAGATTCTGTTGAGAGATATTCCGGGGATATAGCTCAGTGGTACAAGCACCTGCCTGGCAAGCACAACATCCTGGTACCAAAAAAAGAAAAAAGATTCTGTTGAAAGTACACACAGCAGAATGAGCCAATGTGAGGAGAGGATCTCAGATATAGAAAATACGATTGCAGTTGATGATCACGAAAATAAGATTTCTTAAAAATACCAAGGGACCACAAGAAGTCGATCCAGCAGCTGCTAGATGATGTAAAGAAGAATAACATAAGACTGACTGAAGTCAATGAAAAAGCAAGAGCCAGCAAAAATGCCATAAAAAACCTGATCACAGACATCATGGTAGAAAATTTCCCTGGTAGGAAGAAGAATTTGACATACAGTAAGTGAGGCACACAGAACTCCAATTTGCCATGATCAAACAAAAATCTACAGCAAGGCCCGTAATAGTCAAGATTCAACAAATTCAACACAAGAACTGAATATTAAAACCTGTTAGAGGAAAGAAACAAATCACCTATAAGGAAAAGCCCATCAGAATCACAGAAGACTTCTCAACATAAACCCTCAAGTCAAGGATAGTTTGAAGTGAAATATTTGAAGACCTAAAAGAAAACAACCTGTGACCTAGATTGATGTATCCTGCGGAAAAGGACATTCTTTGATTAGAATGCATTGAGGACACAATGATTTGTTTAACCTTGAGTTTACGATCCTCCTATCTCAGCCTCTTGAGTGCTGGTATTACAGGCCTGTCTCGGATTACATGTGGAAAAGGATAATCCTTTGATTACCCTTGCTAAAACATTTTGTATCTACTCATTAGTACTAGCTGTGCCCTACATTCTCGCTCAATAAATGTGACTGAAATTGGTAGGCAGGGACAGTCCTGGCAGCGGCAGTCCCAGTGGCTGCAGTCCGAGAGGCTGTCAGCCCCCTGATCCCAGACTTTTGCCTCTCTTGGTTTTCTTGTCTCTTTACTTTTCTCATTCATCCACAGGCACCTCGTTCTCAGGATCGGTTCACCCTAGAGAGATAGGGATGAGTACTCCCACAGTATCCTGCAAAACTATTTTTCAAAATTGATAGAGAAATGAAATATTTCCATGAAAAAGAACACTTGAGGAAATTCATGAACCCAAACCAGCACTCCAAGGTGTTCTGAAGTACATTCTAGAAAGAGATAACAAGAATTACAACTCCAAAAATTCCAACAGAAGGAATCCACCAGGTAAGGGAAGCAATTAAACAGAGGGGAAAAATAAGGGAACCAACAACAGAAAAGTAACATGACAAGGAGAAATCAATATATATCAGTTATAATCATCAATGTGCATGGTGTCTCAATTCACCAATCAAAAGACACAGACTGGTCAAATGGATGAAGAAGCAAGATTCAACAATGTGCTGCATACAAGAAACACATTCAATACAAAAAGAAGTTCATAGACTTAAATGTAAAGAGTGAAAAACAATACTCCATGTGACAGGAACCTTGACAAAAAGCAGGGGTAGATATATTATTTGCAGACAAAGTGAATTTCAAGCCAAGACTGATCTACATCCTTGTAAAGTGAACAATCCAAGAGGAAGAAATAACAATCATAAATACATATTCACCAAATACCAGTGCACGCAACTATATAAAAACAAATATTAATGGACATGAAAAAACAAATAAGCACTAATACAACTGTAATGGGTGATCTCAATACTGTCATGAATAGATCAACTAGATAAAAAATCAACAGTGAAATATTAGAACTGAACCAAACTTTTGAACAAATGGATTTAGTAGGTATCTACAGAATGTTCTACCCCATAATATCAGAATTCACATTCTTCTCATCTGCACACAGCACATTCTCCAAAACAGACCACATACTAGCTCACAGAACATACCTAAGTAAATGTAAAGGAATCAAAATTATCCCATGTATATTATCAGACCATAAAGCAAAGAAATTGGAAATCAGTGGCAAAAGAAACCACAAGAACTTCATAAACACATGGAAATTAAATGTATCAAGGCCCACAACAGATCTTACTGACCGCAAACCACATTATTATTTGAAAGATAATATTCAATATCTAGCCAAGAATATAGCTCAGCTGCACAGTGTCTCCCTGGCAAGTGCCAGGTAGTGAGTTTGATTCCCAGTACAAAAAAAAAAAAAAAATTCAATATCTTACTTGACTCTTCTCAGTTTCAGTTTGTCTTAGTTTATTTTTCATTATTCCCTCATTCTCTTCTGTTTTAGCTTCTTGTTTCTTCAATGCCTACAGTGAAAGAGGTAGAAAACAACATATTATTCCAGAATGTGTATAAAACTAAAAGTCACTACTAGGATTTATTAAAACAAGGCTGAGGAAAAAAAAAAAAAAAAAAACAAGTCTGAGGAGTCTACTATTAGGAAGCACACAAAATCTATACGTGAATTACAATCTGTTCCTTCATTGAAGCCGTAAGAATACTTCAATTTCTTGATCTTTCTAATCACATTCCACTAAAGTGTCATTTTCACCCCATCTTTGAGAATCTTATTACACATTTAGAGGGCCTACATAGCTAATAGTTTCCTTGAAAACAAAAAAAAACTTACTGCCTACTAAAACAATATTACTTACATATATAATCTGCTCAACTATTCATATATAACACCAAAACCTAGCCAGCTAGATTTTTAAATTCTAAAAGAGTAATGTTCACACTATAGAAACAAGAGGACATTATTGTGTATATCATCAATACATATGACATTTTCTCTACAACACATAAGTGGCTATTCAAACTATACTTCACGTGTAGAAAAGAAAGCATTCATTTTTACAGTTTCCCCCTTTAATGAAATGGAAAAGAAAAACTTTAATAAAACATGTATTTCTAAAGTTAACCACAAAATTTTGTGTTTTGGTTTATTTCTAAGTTAAAACAGAACTAAATTTAAGGAAAAACTTCTATTAGGAGTTCTCTTTTATAATATGTAAAAGGTATTCTATTTTTAAAAAAAAATTTTGACAAATTTAGTACTTAGACATAACCAGGTGTATATCCACACAAATTAAGAAAAGCTAAACTGCCTGAAACCTTTTCCAACAAGATCAACACAAAAGACATTTTTAAGGAATGTCAAAATATGTTAAAATATACTTTCATAAGTATATCAATCATAATTTCATTAAGTTACATATTCAAATACTTCCTATATCTATTAACTATGTAAAGATTTAGGTTTAGGTTGAGATTTAGATTTAACTATCCTAGGGGCTATTAATATATGCATACATTAGAGATGAGTTCACTCTGCCATGTCTCCTATTCTCATTAGTAAAATAGCAATTAAATAAATAGGTAGAAAAGCATTTAAAAAAATTTTTGATCTGACTATAATACTTTTACAGTCTTTAGTATGTACAGGCATTACTATGTGAAAATATATTAAATAAATGCATGATATGTATTAAATGCATACATATAATCCTTATGATTAATTGCATGAGTCATTATTAAGAGGAATATTGAGGCACACAAGAAGTTAAATAACTTGCCCAAATTATTCACTTAATAATAAAGACAAGATGTAGATTTTGGACCTACCTCTTAGCCACTGAATAGGACTGGCTCTCCATGTTGAAATTACAATATCAACTTTACAGGGTTTAGTCAAAGACTAAATAGTTTGAAACTTCTAAAGCACATGAGTTAATACGCGGCACACAACAAATGCATGATAAAAGTCAACATTTACTATTATTAAAATCATAATTCCTTTCATGTACTTATCAAATGATCTTCATCGTAAGGTAAGTGGAATTTTAACAATATTTCCATATGTGTAGTTTAATCAATTTTAGCTGGTGGGATGTTTATACATTTTTCTCTAATAAAAATTCTAGAAATTTAAAATTTACTGATGACATCTTTATTATTTCCATGATTCTTTGGTCTGTTCCCTACCCAGGGATAGTGTGTGTGTGTGTAAGAGAAACGTGAAAAAAAGGTATAAAGAAGTTAACACTACACTCCTTCATCAATCCATTCTATAAAATTTAGAACTTTCTTTTTCATAACATCATCATTCCAACTTGTCTCGTTTTTTTTAAAGTTAAACATAAGCAGTATCTTTCTTTATAAAACTTTCTCATTGGACTAAAAGTCAGCCTGGGATTTTCCACAAACAGCAGGTTAGAAGGAAGACTTCTTCAGGCAACTGACTAGTTTGATTATAAATTGTCAGCCTCTACATCTAGATTCAAACTCCTGAGCAGAAGCCACTGCAAGTAAGTATACAGTGAAGGCTCATCCACACCAAGCAAGTTCATTAAGGCCACACCATGAAGAAAAGAGAAGGAGTAAGGGCCTCAAAACAAGACAGGATTGTCCCACACACCAGAGCTTTTAGCTTCCAAAGGTGAATTTGAAGTTCATCTCAGAAGGTTCGAGGACCTTCAGCTGATAGGTGCTAAGATGAAATGATCCCTCCTGTGAGATTTGTGGTTTTATGCATGTCTCAGATTGTCTACTTCTCTGTCCTCTTAAATTTAATATACTTATGAATTTAAACCCCCAAATTCTTCAGTGAACAAATTTTTCTAGTTAATAAACAGGAATGAATCCATCTCTGTCCTTTGCCATGATTTCCAAGTATTAAATCAGAAAATGGAAAGATATTTCATACCCTGTTCTTGCATAGACAGAACCAATATAGTCAAAACACCTTTATCTCCAAAACTATTACATAGATTTAATGTAATCCCAATGCCAATCCCGTTCCTCACATAGCTAGAGAAAACAAACCTAAAATTCATAGGGAACCAAAAGAGACCCAGCACAGTAAAAGCAATTCTGGACAATAAGAGCAATGCAGTGGGCATCACAATCCTGAACTTCAAATTATACTCTACTATAAAGCTACAGTGATAAAAACAGCATGGTAGTCACAAAACAAAACCAAAAAAAAAAAAAAAAAAAAATGCAGACTTGTAGATCAGAGGAACAGAACACAGGATGCAGAAACAACCTCAGGCATACTCAGCTACCTTATCTTTGACAAAGAGGCCAAATCCTTTCACTGGAGGAAAGACAGCCTCTTTGCCACACAGTGCTGAGAAACTGGTTACCTACATGCCAAACACTGAAACTAGACCCATTATCTCATACTATGCACTAAACTAAAATCAAAACAGATCAAAGATCTAAATATAAAAATGGAAATACTCAGTCTCCTGGAAAACTAAAGAGGTAAAATTCTTGAAGACATAGGTGTAGGCAAAGACTTTCAGAACAGAATGCTGGTTGCACAAGGAATAATACAAAGATCAACAAATGGGATCACATCTAATTAAGAAGCTTCTACACAACAAAGGAAACAAACAACAGAGTGAGACAACCTATAGAATGAGAAACAATTTATGCAAGCTACTCCTCAGACAAAGGACTAACAACTAGAGTATATGAAGAACTCAAAAAAATTAGATTCCCCCAAATTTAAAGACTCTTAAAATAAGACCATCTGAAATGAATAGACACTTCTCACATGAAAAAGTACAAATGGCCAATAAATACATGAAAAAATGTTCAAAATAGCTGGCCATTCAAGAAATACAAATCAAAACAACACTGAGTCCTTCTTACTCCAGAAAGAATGGCTGCTATCAATAAATCAAATAACAATTTCTGGAGAGGTTGCAAGGGAAAGGCACCCTTCTTCATTGTTTGTGGGAGTATAAACTGATCAATCGCTATGGAAATCAGTATGGAGGTTCCTCAAAAAAAATCAAAACTAGAAATTCCATTTGACTCAGCTACTCCCCTTCTAGGTATCTTCTCAAAAAACATTGTGTCACAGTGATGCGTACATACCCATGTTTATAGCAGCACAATTCATAATAGCTAAATCATGAAAACAACCTGTATTCCATCAACAGGTGAATGGGTAAAGAAAATGTGGCATTTATATACAACTGAGTACTAATCTTCCATAAAGAAGGATAAAACTCAAGTCATTTGCAGAAAAATGGGTGCACTTTGAGACCATAATGTTAAGTGAAGTAAATCAGACAGACAACCTTGAATATAGCATGGTTTCTCTTATATGAGAAGTCCAATATATAAGTAAAGTGCAAAATAAAAGCAACAATAGGAAAAAAAAATGTTATTGCAATCCAGTATGGGCACTGTACCTAAAAGTGTACCTTGATTTAGTATAACTGTCTTGTGTGCTTTTTATGTTTTTTTGGTCTACTAGTCTGGCTGTTAATCTGCACTGATCATTAACTTGATTTGGACTTACAAATAAATGTACATGATAGTGGCAAAAAGAATTTTTTTAAAAAAACAGGGGGTAGGCGGGAAGAGGGGAAAAAAGAATTGAGATGTGTTACATACATGTACCAATTCCCCACAAGGAAACTAGTCATTATGTACTGCAAACATGTACTCATAAAAATAAGCATTTTTTAAATTTTTTAAGATCATACATTTAACATCGAAAAAACAAGAAAGTTATGTTAACACTTCCCAACTGTTTGTTTACTTTCTATTGATTAAACACATTAAAAATCTTTCTATTCATATATAATTGTTACAGTTTGTGTCTGGATGTTCCCCCAAAGCCGCATGGAGTCATGGGGGTGGGCTTTCTGAAGGCAGCTGAATCTTGAGTTTGTGATTGGTTCATTGTCTAGTGCTGGGATTGGGATGGAGTGCTATATCCATTCTACAGTGGGTGGCCTGCATACAATTTAAGAGTGAAAAAGAGGCTTGCTTTGCCCTTTTGCTCTTGCTGCTTTTGCTGTTATCCGCAGCCATGAACTGTTGCCCCTCTGTCACACCACCCTGCCTTGGAGTCAGCTGACTATGGACTCTACAAATTGTAAGCTAAATAAACCTTTCCTCACTTAATTTTGGGCATTGGGTATTTTGTCTCAGCAACCAGAGAAAAGTAACTAAGACAACAATTTTTATTTATTTAAATAGACATCCAAAATAGTCATTGAAGGTTTTATTTGATTCAAAATGTTCTTCATTTTCAAGAGGACTATATATCTAGGAATAAAAGGAAAGTTTCCAGGTCTTTATAGTATAAGTTCCAGAAGGTTAAGCACCTCTTTGTAACAGTGACGTTTTATTTCTAAGACACATGTTAGGTGGTGTCTTGGTTACTTTTCTCTCATTGCTGAGACAAAATACCCAACACCCAAAAATAAGGAAGGAAAGGTTTATTTAGCTCACAGTTTGTGGAGGTTTCAGTCTACAATCAGCTGGCTCCAAGGCAGGG